GCCATGGATTGAGGCCGGCCGGTGCACGGTCGGAAGGTCTCGGACTCGGGACTGGTAGCTTCAGACTCAACGGACTCGGACCATTGGAATCCGGGGTCGTGCCGCACTAAAAAGAGACCGATGATCCGGTCGGTAGCGGCGACCACCTCGCGAGCATCGTCATGTGTCAACTCATACTCTTGGAAAGAGCGCAATGACTTTTCTACAAGAATGATGCCATCACGCTCAACACGGTACGTGATACGATAACGCAATGGCTTAACGTCACGATGTGGCTTGCGGAGCGGGTCGAGAGCGTTGGTATCATGGCGTGTAATAAGCTCAGAAGAGCAATGCTGCAGGCGCGAAAGCAAAGCTTGGCAAATGCGATCGGTAGCTTTCAGCTGGGGAGAAGCTTCATAGTCGCGAACATGCTCAGAACCATGAGGGGACTCGAATTTGACCTGAAGATGCACCCGAAGCCCAGGTTTTGCAACTTTCTGAGAAGGTGAAGGAGATGCTGGTGGTGATGGTGATGGCAAGGGAGGAATTGAGGACTGCGACACATCTGAGTGTCGGTTCCTTCTCCTGCTTAAGAGGGGGAATCGACGCTTGGTACTTGACAGGGAGAAAGAAGATGAAGATGTGACAGAATGGCCGTCGGCCGAGTTGCTTGACCTTCTGAGAGGCATATTTGGCCGATCTCGTTGAGAACCGTTTCCCTAAATTTTCGTCTGCCGTTCAAAAGGGCGTATAAGTCGAGGTTTTTGGTGCTCAATGGCACAAAGGGTCCATTGGTGACTGTGCTGTTGTATACTGGCGTCTTCAGGCAGTGAGATCGTACACGGATATTGTCGATTGGCGACAGGAGACGCAACAGGGAAGAGATGTCGAGGAAGAAAAAGATTGAAGTCGTGAGGCCGGGCGCAACGAAAAGCAAAGGCCACAGCAAGGAACTCGGCGGCGGGGTCACTGATTGCAACCTGGGAGTGATCGACTAAACCGCAGGCGCAGGCGGAGTCCTAAAGTCTTGGATACTTGTTCGGTCAGTCAGACTCAGACAGCAAGGTAAGTCAACGGATGGATCAATGAGCGGCAGGGCGTTTCCAAGGATGTGCATGCGTTGGCGCAAGTTGAATGGAACATCAACTGTGTCCGTATACGGGCAAAGATCCTATCCTATGGTAGCCGTGTAAGGAAAAAGAAAAGCTGTGGCTGGTCGAGCTAAGAAGTAGAAGCACTAATGCTTGTGAGGATCGCGAATAGCAAAAGATGGGTTTTCACTGGTGAACTATGAGATGGGAGGGGGAACCGCCTGCCACGGCGCATGAAGCATGGCGGGTCTTTTTAAAGATCTTGCTTGGTGTTGCTCTCTACCCGTATGTGCTTCCGGCTTCCATGGACAATGCTCTTGGAGTTGGCCCATGGATCGATTCTCCCCAGGCCAGAGTGCCCAGTACCTGGTGCATACGGTTGTGTCTCTGACAAAGTGGACTGTCATCTTGTCATGATCCAACACTTCTGTACCGGGACACGCCGGCGTGGAGGGGTCCCCGGGGGTGGCTCTTCTTGGACTCCGTAGGTTCTTCGTGGGCAAAGGCTGGGATCATGCCACGGCGCTGAGCTTGGTGGTGGTGTCCATGCTTGGCTAGATGCTGGGACTCTGCCCGCTGAGATGGAGGGAGGATAGAGACCCTGCTCTTTGCCGTTTAAAGTAACGGTTTGGTGGGCATGGGCATCTTGATGATAGCGATGGCGTGATGTTTTCGTTTATTTAATTGACGATCAATAAGCTTCGGGCAGTTCCTAGTTATGCTGTTGAAATGAAGGGATTAGATTAATTTGCAACTTGTTCATGTTTACGAATTAGCTATTCAGCTTCTTTCCAATTTGCTTCCCTCCTCCACCCCCACCAAAATCGACATTTGTAAACGGCTACCAAGATCCGATAACACGCACCTGCCTCCTGCATTTTCGTGCAAGTCATTATGTACCTCCACCAGTTATGGATCTTAGTGCGGGTTAACGACCTTGCATCCCCTGGAAGCCGGAGGCTGGGTCCGAGCTTATAGCGCCTCACAGTGGATACCTGCATCAGAAACCTCCACTGCAAAATCAACCATTTAATCCTGGTTCTCTAATCTTTTTATCATTCGATAAGTGAGGTTTGTGAATGGAAAATTTCCAGGATATAAACGAAACCAGGCTCAGATCTGGGCTCGAGCTTGGGTCCTGGCTAGGGGCACACATCGCCTTAGATCAATTTTTATGACTTGCAGTAAGACAGACTCTCTCTTCTCCATCTTTGTGTGTTCAGCTTGCTCGGCTGTTAGGGTACTGTCAAGGATGAAGGTACAAAAGTGAGGGCTTTGATGAATATGTACATATCCAGCCTCGTACATACAAAGCCAGGAAAGAAGGTTTTGGTAGGATCCATAAGATGAATCCTTGCACTCGGTTACAGGCGCATTTGATGTGAACTTGAAAGTCAGCTCTGGACGATCACAGACAGCTGACGTGCTGTACGGGGGAGTTTCCATAATAATTCTTCAAGTACCGCATCTCATGAGATGAGGCTGAGCATATGACGGTTTGTCAGGCAGTTCCAGGTTCAGCCAGCCAGGTCAACCGTCAGAGTTTCTTGTTCTGATTCCGGCAGAGTGGTTGGCTGTGTGTTACATTTGGGTCAACTGATGTCCCCTTAATTTTCCTATTTTTGACATCGCGATCCTCGTTCGGCATCTGTGTCTGCTCTGTTTCGGCCACATCCTGTGAGAGTTGTCGTCTAAGGATGACAAAGAGGAAACTGGCCAACCACGGCTCAAGCCTTAAAACTCTGAGCCCCTACAAGCACACCACATCATTCCTCTTCAGGTGGCCACAGTCAATATCAACCAGCTGAATGGACGCCTTGAAAAGTATCGATTCTCAGAGCATCCAGCAGCCATTGAAGAACGTGGCAGGCGCAGACACTTCTATGGATGAATGAATCATCGATCGATACCGTGCAGTCCGTGCCGCGTTCCGTTCTGTCAGTCTGTGAATTGGTTTGCCAACTGGACTGAAGTGTGTCCAACAGTTCGACTTCACTTTCAAATGCCTCTCGCATAAGAGACTCCTGCCGAAATTCTGCGTCACGATCTGGCCACTCAGGAATCTTTTCACCGTTGGATCTGGGTCTGCTGCCATCCAACACGCTGAAGTCAGACCACGCTTGCGCAGGCATGCCAGGCTTCCCCGGCGGCATTTATGTACAGTACATACTCTGCATTGCATAGCGCAGCGCGTGCATTGCAGGGCTGTACTATTTACCCCGATTCAGAGTTGCCTCATTCTCCAATGAGGCCCGTCTTGAGGCCATTCCAAGTTGTATTTCAGCCAATTGGCGACAATTGGCCATAATGTGTCACTGTGTAGCACTACAGCGCATTGCCAGCATCACTCATCTTCAACCACAAATGTTACAAACACTTACTTATTCGAGGGTCTCTGCATACTTCACAAAAAGCAAACTGCATTTAACATCATGACATTATCATTCATCCTTGTCTTTCCTTCACCCGATTTTCTCCGTGATCTCATATCAGCTTTGGTTCCATTACCCTACAGCGATCCGATCACACCTCACAAGTATACTTAATACATCTCATGATGTTGGTTAGGCATGTATGTCATTTCATTGCTTGATCCTAACAGTTCGAATGACGTTTTACCACGACGGCCGGCTCCATCCTTCAGTGTACGTATGTACATACACTTGCTGGCATACGTTCGCATGGACCGGAACTGTAAATCCAAACACATGCTCGGTTTTCGACCGGGAAAGTGAGTTGCCTAGAAATACCTCTGCATAACCCCAACAGGGGTTTCGTGCATTGCGCTTAAGCAGTTACGTACTTGACATTTACCAACTCAGACAAGCCATGGCCGGTGATAATTCGGGCAGGTGAACAAACTCGACGTTATCACTCAGTATAGGTTAAGAATACCCAGCTCATATTCGTATTCTAAGGTATCTACATAGTAAAGGAAGATTGAGTAAACTTTAATCTAAAAGGGAAGCGCTTGTGGCTTCTTTCTTCCTTCTTTGCTCGGGTGCTCCCGTCTGCGAATTTCCTATTCAGGCAGTGCAACACCAACACCATGAAATCTCGAATATAATACAAAAAGACCAAAGCTACATACAGAGAGAATCACAAACAAGACTACGTACGGAAAGACAAAAAATAACAGCTGATAGGCGCTGGAGACTTGCTCCCACCAGGGCTTGAACCTGAGACCTTCGCATTACCGGATACTCGGTTTGAAGTATTAGTACGACGCTCTAACCAACTGAGCTATGGAAGCCGATCAGCTGTTTCTTGGTGTTGAAGGCTGGGATGTTTTTGCGGTATATGAGAGTGAGAGAGCTTGTGGCGGCAAAGCTCCCATTAGAATAAAACATCTACTTGCCCTCTCTGAGAATATCTTGATGTACGAATTTGTTGTTCATGAAGATAAAGAGCCTGGATTAAAGAGATACCGAGTGTTTCAATAAAGATAGAGCTTGCAAAGAAAACGAGATCAGTGTTTGTTACCTTCGTGTCCATAATGATAGTTCGACATATGGACTGTAATGCTCGCACTGACTTTTATATATGAATAGAGGTATGAATGAGATATGGCACAAAATGTTTGCTAGACAAAGTGAACAAGGAAGAGACGAATAATCAATGCCATCTGTAACGGATAACTGCGTCATAGGCAGACGGCAGTCTGCAGTCAACTCTTTCAAGTAACATGAGTGAATGCCGCCAGGCTATTCACATTTTTGTTGTTGGACTGATCACACTGTCGATTCGGGCTGGTGAATATTCATGAAGGTCTTTAAATGTTGTCCCACTAACATAAATCTATCCATCCCTTCCTTCATCCTCTCCCGTCGCAAGATCCAACCCAGAAGTGACCCAGAAGTCATCAAGAAGCCAGCATAATCGCTCTACACTCAACTTGACCACGATACTCCCAAATCAACCTCAGTGATGGCTCGACCCCTTGATTCAGATTCAGACAGCGATATAGCTGACCGTTCCGGTGTTATCGTCCTCACTCCCTCCAACTCGTCTGCATCCAGCAGCAAATATGGAACCCTCATGGATCAGTGGAACGATTACTTCAAGAAAGGCACCCTGCAAGACTTCCAGCGACTTTGTGCCGATCTAGGCCTACCGAGTGATCTTCCCAGCAAGACTAAATGCCGAGACGTAAGTTTTCAGATACCCACGATAACTTCCAGATACTGACTTATTCCAGGCGCTCAAGAGCATCAACGTCAACATCAAGCAGTTTCTGCACTGTGAAAACAAGCCCGATGATGTCGAGCTCTTCAAGAGCAGGAGGGAACTTATTCGCTGGACGCGCAAGCAGAATGCTTTCCTCCCAAAACGCAAGCTGCCCAAGGGCAGTCCGCTTCGGACACTGTTGAAGCAAATGTTCAACTGACCAATGCCACGAAGGATCAGACATGAGACACTACACTGGATACTGGATATATCCAGGATATTGAATAGATCACCCATGGAGTGATAAGATGATATTGGTTGTAGATAATCATGCGCCGTTCTGTGTCCATTAAATATCTAACTCCTGATCTCCCAAAGCCTGATCTTCCCCGTGTCATTACCAACCGCCAGCAAGTCACTCTGATTCCCAAACGCGACTGCCGTGATTCTTCCAAGAGGTGTCTGTTCCGTAGGCCAGTTACGGTACACTGTGCAAGTAGGTAGATGCACAAGACGCAAAGCGTCCTTCTTATGTTGGCTTCCGAAAGCCATAAGCTGACCATCTAGTGAGAAAGCAATGTGTGTAATGGGTGTGACAAGCTGCTCGAAGACTCTTGTAGGTGTTGGGCGCTCCTTAATAGATACTTCCTCCGACTTGAGTACGACAAGCTCGTTGCGATCGTATATGTTGGTGATGCCGCTGTTGGAACCTACAGCGACCCATCGATCGTCACCCAGTACAGCTGGACCCTGATGACCGCCAAGACCGAGGACAATGCCACCAACACAACCCTCATCATGCCATATTCCCAAGAATGAGCGGCTCTCCATGCTGTACTCGCCAACCTGGCCATCCCGACCAAGGATAGTCATACCGTTTCCAGTGCTCCACCAAGCAAAGTCTGCAATGCCGTTCTGACTAGAGAGTCTGGCAGCGGAAATCCACTGCATAGATGTTGTGTTCAGAATGTTGATGATACCGCCTCCCTTCCTGGTAGATGCAACAATGGCCATGTATCGACCGCACGGGCTGAGCTTGAATCTCTCCATAGTCTTGTGCTCGAGCCTGTGGCCGAGGATCTGCGTTGTCTTTTGCACTGTTCCTGATTTGAGATCCCAGTGGTGGAAGTATTTTCGTCGGCCAGCAAAGAACACCTTGTCGCCCCGAGGGTACAAGAACTCGGCCCTTCGAACATCGACTTGCTTGACTTGTACTGAAGTCAATTGAGGATTGGGTGTAGGATGAGCGGCGGGCGCGATGTGATGGAGGTAGAGCACAGAGGCGGTGCTGGAGGAGAGGAGGACCGGGAACTCGGGGTGGAAGGAAAGATTGGCAATGGGGGCCTTGTGCTTGTCTGGGATCTCTCGTGTACGTTGGATGTCAATGACTTCGGGTCGTAAGCGCCTCTTCTTGGTCGATCCAGCTCCGGCCAGGCTGTTGACATCGCGAAGGAACTTCTCAAGAGGCTGAGCAGAAATCTCAGAGTCGGAATCGCTGTCTGCTGAAGAGTCAGACGCAGCTGATGATCGTCTTCGCTTGCTAGGTCGTCCATCTGCTTCGCGCGCCCACGCTGGAAGGGGATTAAGTCGGAGGTACTGTTGTCGCAACCTTCTGCTGTACTCAGTCCCGCTCACAAGATCCTCGGCCTCCGTCTTTCGCAGCTTTCGTAAGCGAGTGGCTCTAGCCAGGGAAATGGCCAGTCTATCGTCGTCGCTATCCTCCCATACAGGGGCGTTTCCATCGCTGGGCTTTGCTGCCTTTGTGGCCTCTGCAGCACCTGGTCCAGCACCCGTGTCGAACATGAACAGGTCCGCATCGTCGATTTCCTCCAGTCCAGGATCTTGTTCGACAAGCTGGAGTTCCTTACCCTCCGCATCCCAGCTGTTATCAAAAATCCCATCGTCTTTGAACAATTGCGCCCGGAAGCCTGCCTTGTTACCTAGAACAAGTCGCTCCAACTCTTCCTCGTCCGAATCTTTATCGTAGAGCGTAATAGTTGGCTTCTTCTGAGGAACCTCATCTTCTGAGTCAAATTGAGACTCATTCTCCGAAGAGGAGGAGGATGAGGGATCTACCATTTCTTCGTCTTGTGGTGGCGCCATTGTTGTCCTTTGTCTAACTGGAGTAAGTTTTGCGGTTACTGGGTTGGAAATGTTTATCGCATGGAATTTTTTTAGAGGGTCCGACCAGCCTTGCACACGCAATTCTCTATGATAGGCTCTTCAATTTTATGGCTGATGGGGTCGCGACCAATCATACAGGGAATTGAACGAGGCTGATAATGCATCCGAATAGAAGCAAGTTTAGTTGTATGGAACCAATCAACCCTGAAAATCAAGTATTCTAATTCGCAATCTGTGTACAAGTCGAAATGGGCAAGAATATATCAAGAATGAGCATAAGGTAATTTAGCAAGTCTATAGCGGCCTTCACAGGCTCCCATAATTCCAGACTTGAATCAAGCCTAGTAGCCCAAGTTATTTTCCTGGGAAAGGATGGAAGTATGCCTAGATGTGAGAGTTTAGAAGGTTAGGAATTTACAAGAAAGCCTGAAACAATAGAAATATAATTACTTTCGGGTATTTAAATGGACTTCTCCCACTATTCTGCTGCCGCCTGTGCCAACACACTTTCGAGTCTGTATAGATCAGGACTCACTGACTCAGGAGACTTGAGTGTCAAACATGAGCCAGCTTGTGCAACATCAATGAGGTTTTCGACTTTGCCACCCTGGGCCAATCCGGAGATCAAAACTCCGAAGAACGTATCTCCGACCCCGTTAACAGATATAATGTTCTGGACCCTTTCAGCTGCAGAGAATAGTCGCATATAGAGTCCACCAACGCTGGGGTGGTCGCTCATCGAGCGAGCAAGGATGTACTCTTCGGAGTCAGGGTCCTTCAGACGAGGATCATCTTTTCCGAGGATGGTGGTCAGGAGGACACCCTGAGGCCCAAGTTTCGTCACAATAGTTGGAATATAAGGAAGTAGTTGAACAGACTGAACGGGGACACCAGCGTCAGTCAGCTCGGCTGTAGTCATCTTAACAAAACGATCTCGGGCGCCTCGCATGCCAAAGGCATCGATGATATCGAACCACTCCGGGGCCTCAAAGTAGCCGTTATCACGAGCTGCGGAGTACATAGCTGCCAGCTCGTAGCTGTTGGGAGAAGCGATATCTACCGTGGGCTTGGGGAAGACTCGAAGTTTCGGGTGTCCTTTCTGAGGGCAGAAAAGGTTCATAGACTTGGCTGTCGATACTGGTTCAAAGGCAATCTTGCAGTCTTGATCTTGGCCAGCCTTGAGCCATGCTCGAATATCTTTCTCGCTCCAATTGCCATCCACTACCAACCACTTGGGCTTGGTTCCCCGGACGGCAGACTTCCAATATTCGGGGAAAGAGTGGTTTGTGAAGATCCCCATATCGGCCATAGCCATGACTAGATTCTTGTTTGCATCATTGACAGCGACGTACTGAGCCGTTCTATTAGAGCCGTGGTACTCGTGGCCTAATTGTCGAATGTATGTGGTGTCAAGGCCAGAGGCTTTGAGTCCATTAATAATGGTCTTGCCAGCACTACAGCACGTCAGTGAGGTCCAGATCTCAGTACGAGAGTGCGCTTACACGTCATCACCAACCATGCTGCAGAGCCGTACTCGCGCATGTTTGCTTACAGAGTGGGCAGCAAGAGCTACATTATGGCCGACGCCTCCAATTGACTGGCTGATACTTGATGGATTCGAGGTATGGAGGACGGGTGAAGCGTCACCCGATTTTGGGGCATAGTCACAGCTTAGATCAACAGCAACGGAACCAGCGACAAGGATATCAGCCTTGCTATCAGACGTTACTTCTGGCCCCTTGAGCTCAGTAGGAGCAGGAGATGCAGGTGCAGATGCAGATGGAGCGCCAGAATATGAATTGCTATAGCTACGATTAGATTTACGTCCGAGACCATTCATCGCTGCACTTACAAAGTCTTGACTGGTTCAGAACCAGAAGACAACAATTTTGAGAGTTCGACAGCGATGTTGGTGGCCCGGGTGATGTTGGACGTTACCAGCGCCTTGTTGGCGACAACGGCCTTCTCTCCTGTTAGCTCCTTGAGCCTACCCAGGATATACGGAGTGTTAGCGCTGCCAGTGAAGCCCTTCTCATTGGCCTCTCTGACAGCTTGTTCGATATAAGCCTGCATCTCAGGCGCAGGAATGCCAAATTCCTCCGGGATGGGGTTGGCGAAGAGCAAGCCTGACTCAATGCCAAGCTTCTCCTGGGCCAGAATGATAGCAGCAGCCTCCTTCTCGGTGTGGACAACAGAAGGGCTCTTGATGCCGCTATCACGAGCCCAGAAAGCAGGGAAATCAATCTTTCCAGATCGTCCGTCTGCAAAGGTCGAAACATGTGCACCCTGGGTCTCGAGGAACTCCAGTGTCCTGGGGATATCGAGGAAGCCCTTGCAGCCGCTGCTAATGACGGCGACTCGGGTTCGGCCAAGTTCAGTGAGATCAGCAGAAACGTCCATTGAGTCATGGCCTCCACGGTGAACGCCACCGAGACCACCAGTGCCAAACACTCGAATGCCTACAAGCCTGGCGAGCACCATGGTTCCTGATATGGTGGTGCCGCCATGAATCTTCTGTCCTGTCAAACCCTGAAGCAAGTCTCAGTCAGTCCTGCAGCCTGTGTAAATCAAAGATGTTGACTGTGGATGCAATGCTGCACACACGAGGCATGACCAAAATCAGTACCTAGCTTGACTTACCATTCCCGCGAGGTAGGCAATATCTCTCCTGGATGCCTTAACAGCGTTTCCACTCTCAATCATACGAAGGATATCAGATGCTGTTGCTCCGACAGTAGGAACGCCATCAACAATGGCGATGATGGCGGGAATACCTCCATTGCTGCGGACAAGATCTGAATGTTGGAGGGCGAGTTCATTGCCCAGGGCTCCGTGAGTGTAGATAGTTGACTCAAGAGCAACGATGGGTTTGTTGGTGGCAACAGCATCTGTGATCTCATCCGATACCTTAAGCAAGTCCTTGACACCAGCCAAAGAAGAGCTCATGAGGCGGCGTTGAGAATGAGAGCAGACCGGCCGAGTTCCGGCTCCGGAACAACGCCGAAGGACGGAGCGGTGCCGGGCAATGAGACTTGACAACCGCATGCTGGATATGCTGTACTGCAATGGAGTTGCTGTATTGAGTGAGATGCAGCGGTACACGCCAATGAACAAGGCCGGTTGAAGTCCCCGAGGTTCAAGATGAAGAACGGCGTGTTTGAATCAAGATTCGATGTTGAAGTTGATCACCTTTACTGAGAGGAGGGGTTGGAGGAACTGACCTGACAACCTGAGTTAGCGTTAGAGTCGGGCAATGACAAGAGCCTCGGATCACGATTATTAGCGATCACTTTTAGAAGCCAATGATTCCCCTATCGTGAGATATCTTCTGTCACGATAAAAGAAAAGAGCTCCACAGCCGCCAATTTGGTAAGAGGATCTTTTGCTCTGAGCAGGCGGTGTTCGTGGTTCTTAGCTCTTGGCTATCGGGGGGCTCCGCCGGTAAATGCCCCTCTAACAATTCATTGGCTCTCAAGTGGCACTCAAGGAAGCAATTCCGCTGCGAGTTGGAGACGGAGAATTCGATCTTGAAGAGCCAAAAATGAACATTCTGCACTTTTGATATTTTCAGCTGTAACTCTTCTTCAACCGGGGAAGTAGGTTCCTACATGTCAATTCAAATGATATTTAAATCCCTGTCAAGTTGATTCTGAACCATATTGAATGCTCATAATGCGCTGTAACACTGCAACATAAACATGGGTTAACGCTTATAAGTCTGAGATTTATGTAGCAATGTTAGTTATTACCAAGTATAAGTCCCAAAAAACGAACTCGTAATGTCATCATTTCAAGATAAGAAAAGAAGCAGAGAAATAAATCGTTCATTCTCATTATCTATGTTCTTAGCCTCATCCACCGGTAAAATACCCTTGTAATTTCGCTTTTATCAAGGACCAAGCCCCCATCCTCAAACATCTCCCAAGGATTTCGCAGCTGTATTGGATACTCGGCCAAGCCCAATTTCCGGTTTCAAAAAGTAGATGTAGTCATTTGAATCCTGCGCCGTATTTCCCGCGATAATGAAATTGTTGTTGCCGTTCCTTTTTCTCGCACCTCATTTTGTGCCTGGGCTCGTGTAGTACTTCATACTAGCAATGTTATCATCAAAGCAACAACTTACAGCCGTGCTGCTCCTGGCTGGGCGCGCGCTGGGACTGAACTTTACCATTTCTAATGGCCAGATCTTTACACCTGGTTTTGTGGTGCTGGATGCCCCTCAACCGAACACACCCCTTGGAGGGGGTAAGTTGACAATACGACGTCATGATAGCTTCGCCAGACTAACATTGTTGATTCAAGATACGTTGCACGTCGCTATAGATGTGACCGCCAATGGCAAGCTGCCGTTGCCACCGCATGATGAAGATGACGACAACCAGATCTTCAGTATCGAGATGTTCCTCTACAGTTACATGACAGGTCGCAACCTGACCATCTCTAATGGAACGGCGACCGCTAATAACGCAAGTCTCGGGGAGATCATGGCTCAAGAGCCAGGCAGTACGGTTAAGCATATTAACTGGGTGTGGCCTGACTGTCTCGTTGGTGACGGAAAGCCTGGAGGAGATAGTGATCGCGGTGTTTACAACGTGAGCAATACTTTTATACCCTTCTCAGAAGATGTTCTGACAATATGCACAGATTTCCATCCGACAAAACTTTAGGCTCAACGGCGATGACCACTATACCATCTTCGACGTTCCAATCAATGTCACCAATTCGATTCCTGAGGATGATGATCGGCCGTCTTGCGATGAGCTATCGAATGAGATACTCTCGCCTGAGGAAATTGACGCAAAGGCAGCTAACGAAGTGGGCGTTTTGTTTGCGCCAGGTGATTCGACCGAGCTTGATGCCAGTGGTGAGGATTCGAAGGGGTCTGCCCTTGGTTCGAATGTAGCGGTATATGCTGGATTGGTGAGCTTGTTCATGGCGATTTTATTGTGAGGATCTTGATTAGCTTTTTAACATTCCGATACCCCCTAATTTATGAGCAAATGCTCTTTTATATAATATGTTGTATTCCAGCAAGCTTGTTCTGGGAATCACTTCTTCGTTCAAATACTCTGGAACCACAAATAATTCACGGTCTCTGAATCTGAGTGTGAAAGTTGAAACACCACGTCTTAAACTGCCACACATCATCAAATTCCACTAACCAAGGCAGGTTACCAAATCGCCATGTCAACCATCATCTGCCATGCCAATTAAGGAATCATCCCCGTTTAGCATAGCTTTAAGGCGATCGAATTGCGGGGTCACCATGACACCGAGGAACAATCCGCAACACTCGTTAACTCATGATGGTCCAGCTTGGCGCAAGCAAAGATGTTGTTCGGTAAGAGCTGCTACAAGAACCCTGGCGAATAGCTTTCTGACTATTACCCCAGATTTCTCATCCCTGCGAACTACTGCAGCGAGCTGCGAGTTGGTAGCTGTTCGTGGAAAAGAACCTCGGTTTGCATGCTCCATCATGACAACCATGCATCAAGCCCATTTCCCCTCCATAAGAGATGCCTATGCGCATTGGAGGCGCAAAGTGCGTTGTTTGAATACTTGAGCTGCTCTCTTGGACCTGTGCACTACCTGTTTTCCATATGGAAAAGCAATCGTATCTCAGTGTAATCTGACAACAAAATCTTGACTTACATCAGACTCAAACGCCATCATGCCGATGCACCAAGGACTTATCCCACGAGAAGGCATTTGCGCCGACGTTGTACTACGACTCATTCGTCAGACTGCTCTCAACCCAGCTCTCTTACTTCCTCTCGTGCTGTTCGCTCGCCTCACCAAAAAGGGCCAAGATCTCTCCATTCTTCATCCCAGTGCCCACAGTCACCTCAAAACACTCTTCTACGTTGCTCTGGCGCGATGGGCAAGCGGATGGTGGTCCGATAAGACCAGAAACAACTGGGTTGACGACAAATATGACTGGAAGCGCGAAGTTGTGCTCGTAACAGGTGGTGCAGGAGGTATTGGAGGGCGAATCGTTAAGCTTTTTGAGGAAATGGGCGTCAAAGTTGTCGTTCTTGATGTTCAGCCCATGTCTTTCGAAGTTTGTATGTGATCGTTTTATATCTTACCCCAGTTCAGGATCGGAATAACAGAAGGAGGCTAACTTCATACCTAATAGCGGCCAACGTGCACCACTTTCAATGCGACCTTCGATCGCCCGAAAACGTCGAGGCCGTCGCCGAAAAGATCAGGGTTGAGGTTGGACATCCGACCGTCGTTATCAACGTGGCTGGAGTTGTCAGGGGCAAAACTATCTTGGAATCTCAGCCAAGCGATATTCGCTTCACTTTTGACGTCAATACCTTTGCTCAGTTCTGGATAGCAAAGACATTTGTTCCTGATATGGTCGCTAACAATCATGGCATGGTTGTAACCCTGACATCCTATGCGAGCTGGTTGACAATTCCTAACCTTGTAGATTATGGTGCTTCAAAAGCAGCTGCTTTAGCTTTCCACGAAGGCTTGACTGCTGAGTTGACCACCATATATAATGCGCCCAAGGTCAGGACTGTTATCGTCCATCCAGGTCCCACCAATACTGCTCTTTTCAAGGGATACTACCAAAACACTGACTTCTTGATGCCACCACTTGCACCCGAGTCAGTGGCCGATGCAGTAGTTAGGCAGGTTCTCACAGGGCGTAGTGGGCATGTTGTGATTCCTGGCACAGGCACCATTCTGGCTGCTTTACGTATGCAACCGGACTGGTATGCAATTCCCGTGAGAGCTAAGGCAGAGGCATATATGAAGAATTTCAGTGGTCGTCAAGTCATTGAGGATGTGGATACTACCATTGAGAACGATGGTCAAGAGAAGGAAGCCGACGGAAATGCAACCGCAAGTACGGTTTTGGTGTCTTAATTAAAACTGGCTTGTCACTATAATTTAGTGGATGAATTGTGGTGTTGCTATTGTTTGATTTAGCCATATTGTACAGCTCATACTCTATCACATTGTGTGTGACTGATTGGGCAGTCAGTCACTTTGAACTTATCGCGAAATCATGATTCTCATTATCAAGGAAATGTAATCCCAGCATACGGTGACAGATAAAGGGGACACTAGAACACCAAAGCGGTCGTGAATCATTGTCTTCTACAATACCATGTAGTTGTATGCGCGTCTAGTGAGGTAGGGCCCATTAGTTTTCAACAGAGACACTTGATAAACTCATTCTCAGGTCAACCCATGCGTCGTTTATTGCTCACTGCAAGACTCAAGGTCCGATTAAAAAGGGCGTGCGTGGGAGCTCGGGCTACCCAGATACCTAAGTCCAAACCAGCCTGTGCTTTATAGGTCATCCATGTAATAGAGTACCATTGTGTTGGTGATGTCCTTGCCCGATGTTATGTCATGTTGGTGGTGCCAACTGACTGATTTGAGAGCACCCAGATATGCCGCTCTGTAAGGGTGCATACAACGCGTGGCATAACTCGAGTGATAGTCAGGCATGAGCCGATATAAATGATTCGATAAATTAGTCAACAGATAGCCATCCAGGACCTGGGTCGGCTCCAATGCGGAATACTTCCAATGAGTGAGCTGGCGGCAAGGCGCCTACAGACAAGATGAGATGAGAGACGTCGCTTACGCTGCACAGCGCAGAAGGATCAGCTCCGATGTTGATACATATACAGTATTTGTGATGAGTTTGACAACTTGCATATGCAACCAAGGTGAAAGGGGGGCCGGTCTGCCAGATACCTTGCTCAATTGTATATCATGAGATGATCATCGTTCGCTACATGTTGTGGTAAAGGGCTCCATCGTCAGCTCAACTGCTTGAAATGTGGCAGCGTAGCATGTAGGGCATGGGTCTATGCAGACTGTACCCAGGGTTCATCCTTGATGGGAGATGGCAGAATGAGAAAATTTGAAAATTTGAGAAAACTATGTGACTGTCCGTTTGAGTAACCAAACGGTGTTGAGAAAGTTGCAACACCGGCAGGTTGCGTTGAATCTGCATGCTAATCCCCAATTCAGCATCATACTTGCGTCTTCTGTTGCACAGAACGATATCAGGTAAGCTGAGCACTGAGCTAAGACCTGCATGTATCAGTTTGAATCTGTGTGTTACTGCCACCAGATCCATCCCATCTGAGTCAATGAAACGGTTCCTATATATAACACAACTTACGGTGTGGCTTTGCTGCATATTGTCAATTCCCCGACTTTAGACCACTTCAGCTGGTAATCTACAGGACTTGACCAGATCTGTCATCGACTTACAAAACTTCAGACAAAGGCCGGGGAAACCGGTGTCAGATGGATGGATTGCACCCGCTCGCCATGCTGATAATGGCACCGCCCGAGAACGGCCTCATCCTGGTTCAAAGACCCTGAGTTCCTGCAGGCGTATAGGAGAAGAGGCAAAGGAACTTAATAACATGCGATATCAGACCCTGATACTCCATCGTTCATGTCCTGACCGCAGCCAGATCACTGTACCACAGCTGAAAAGGGTATAACAGGTTAGCAGATGCGGATTGAATAGTGTACGAGAAGGGCATCTACGTACATAACAAGTGCATGATCCTTGCTGCTGTCAGAGCAGTAAACACACAATCTGGTACCAGACATACCACGTTTTCATCGGAGACTAGAAGCCGCAGAAGTGGACTCTTTGACGAAACGGCGCGAGCGTGTGGCACAGGTTCAACGTCTTTTTTTGTCTTGGTCCAAAGTGTCATTATCAAAGGAGGTGGTGGTGTTGAGGATTGGTCTAGGTCTAGGTGCAGGGCCTGGTCCATGGTCTAGCCTTCTAGACCTTCTTTCTAGCGGTGTTATTTTCTGCCATTGATTTGTCACTGTTTGTTTCAGAGATATCTATACTTTTAATATAAATGTTCGTGCTTGAATCTGATTAAATGTGATGATGCCAACATGTTTCACCTTTTTTCTTCTTCAATACTTCTGGTGCTTTGGCTTTGGGGTTGACAAAAGCATTCAATTCATCAATTATCGTCCAATCACATGCTAGATCGTTAAACGGGGACAGGTCCAGAGACTGCATGTGGATCCCTTCAAGTTGCATTCCAACAGGAAGGGCCCATTGAAAAAGAGTGAGCGAGCTTGGCTCTTGGCAAGCGAGGAAGGGGCGGATGGATTTGAGAAAGGGCCCTGGAAGCTAGACCCAGTTGGACGTGTCAACCGTGTCGTCTGAGTGGACCGTGTGGCAGTGAGCCAGCAAAATCTCCCTCGAAATCAGCCCATTTCTTGTCTCCTCGTCAGGTCTGGCGTCGCCTGCCTCCGCCTGCTGTCGATAATCGTGTCATGCCATTTTTTCTGCTCCAGGCAATTGTGACCCCATTTCACTTGCCCTTGTTGCCCTCGACCCTGGGCTGGTCTTTCCCATCCATTCTCTGTCTCTCTTTTTGATCCATGGAGGCCAGGGCATCGTATCACCCCGGTCGTCGCTTGCCATCAACCCCCGAAATCCGGTACCTGCCCGTTCGTGGGCGCTGTATTTCCTATATCTGACCTTGAGACTCGGAATAGCTTCATACTTAGCCCCTCTCTTCTCCTCTCTTCACCTCGGTGTCCCTCTTCGTGCTCCGTCGTCCATCGTCTGTATCTTCGTTTCTGCCATTACTGCGGCCGTCTCCTCCACCTTGTTCGCCATTCTCATCGTAGTCTGCATATCTGCACAAACCCTTGTCGTCTCAGTTGTAGCTTGTCAGTCAGATTCAGCCTGTCCAATAGTTACTCGGTCATTCTGCCCCGCGGCCTCGAAACCCCCATACACTTACCGATCGATCTATTCCATCATACATATATCCAATTAATACTACGCGACCCTCCTCGAAATCTTCAAAGCATCTTACGAAATATTCAATTTTGCGACTTCGAACTTGACTACCTATTCTCATCAGGCGATATCGGGGAGTTCACATAACACCCCGAGTGTGATACGGACGGCACTTGATAACTGTGTGGACGGACTAACTAGGAGAATATCACCTTACCGAATATCTTTTTACTTCCCACACACCTTGTCGTTTGTCGCCAGCCTGATCGTTTGCGACATCTTTTACCTTGACTCGGACGCTTCCGCCGTCTTTACCTCTCGCAACTACTGCCGGACGACACTCTGTCAACAATTTGATCCGACAGAGGTCGTCCATGATCTTGTGATCTCCCGGCGATTTCCATTGTAACATGGTACCTAGCATTGTCCAATCTGACGACATGGATCAAATGGAAATCCCCTTTCCAGCACACCGGGAGCGCCAGGAGGGTTCTCCTCCTCCCTTCCAAGATCCTCTGGCTCTTCTTCGCAGTCTTCCTGAGCCTCCGCTGGAATGTCAAGTATGTGTTGTTGGCGCAGGACCTGCCGGTCTAATGTTGGCCACAAACCTGACCAGATTCGGCATTAACGTTGAGGTGATCGATGATCGAGCCGATCAGACGCCCGTGGGAAGGTAAGGTTATCACCACGATTCAATTGTACCACTGGAACAGTCCAATTGACCTCAAAATAGAGCCGACGGCCTTCAGCCGAAGACGATCGAAACCTTTAGACAAATGCGACTATCAGATACTTTGTTAAAACAAGGTGTTCGTGTCTTCGATATCGCATTCTGGCGTAGCACCGCAGACGAACCTCTTCGTCGACTTGGCCGCGAAGTACATTATCCCCCTATTATCGATGTTCTCGACCCCTACATTCTTCTGGTCCATCAAGGTATGGTTGAAGGGCTGTTTCTTGAGGACATGAAAAAGCGCGGCAAGGAGGTCCGTCGAAACATGGCTTTTGAGTCGTACAGCGTCCCTGACAACAAGACTGGTCCCCTTCAAGTCAACTGCCGTGCCAATGTCAATCAAGACAAGCGTTCGGTTCTGACTCAATACCTGATTGGATGTGAGTGGTAGACCCTTGCACTTATCATGCGCTCAGAAACTGACATTACTACTAGGTGATGGTGCACACTCCAAGGTTCGCAAGAGTATCCCAGATGTCAAGGCTGTCGGCATGTCTCAGGCTGCTATTTGGGGCGTTCTCGATGGCGAACTGATTACTGACTTCCCCGATATTTGGTCCAAGACGCTCGTCTACTCACAAGAGCACGGTTCAATTCTCATCATTCCTCGAGAGAGGAATATGACTCGTTTCTATATTGAGCTGAAGGCTGGTGCCAAATTTGATCGCCGCGATCTGGGTCAGGAGTTCATGATGAAGCGCGCGAAGAAGATTATGGCACCGTTCCGCTTGGACTGGAAGTACGTTGAGTGGTTCGGCCGTTATCAGGTTGGTCAGAGGGTTGCTAGTCGCTTCACTGATGGCCACCTGAGGGCGTTCCTGGCTGGTGATGCCAGTCACACCCACTCTCCCAAGTCAGCACAGGGTATGAACACCTCGATGCACGACTCATGGAATTTGTCGTGGAAGTTGAACCTTGCGGTTCGAGGCTTGGCCAAGCCAAATCTGCTGGAGAGTTACGAAGAGGAGCGGCGCAAGATTGCCCTGGACTTGGTTAACTTTGACTATGAGCATGCGAACCAGATTGCTGGTGGCGACGCCATTGCCCTCGCCGAGAACTTCAGGACCAATGTCCGTTTCATTTCCGGAATTGGTGCTGAATATGGTGAGAATGCTATCAACAGACCAGGAATTGGAAACAACCAGTTTGTCATGGGAGACGCCAAGCCAGGTTGCCTTCTGCCTCCTGCTAAGGTTACTCGATATATCGATTCCAACCCTGTGGATATCCAGCTTGACATTCCTATGCTCGGTCAGTTCCGAATCTACCTTCTTATGTGGGATGTTCAACAATCAGCACCTTTCCTGCAAACTTTTTGCCATGCTATTGCAGGTACAGACTCCTTCATCAGCCGTCTATCTGCTGCAGCTAGCGCTTCTTATGCTTCGCAACCCCGAACATCAGCTCCTGAGGATGTTTATTCCCGACCTGAGCGATACACTGTTGTCAGCCACCTCTTCACTTTTGGTCTTATCAGTAAGTTTCTTCGCATTTTGTATCTTGACATCCCTTGCTAAAAAGTCAATCAGCCACCATGCCCAAGACAGAAATCGAGATCTCAGACCTCCCACCTCTTCTGCAAGACAGCCGCTGGACTTTCTACCTTGACGACATTCCCGATCAGGACACCCGTGGGTCGCTATGCACTAACAAATGGCTCGGCAGCCTGGGACCTGGCGAGGTGGCCATCATTAATGTTCGTCCCGATGGTTATGTTGGCTCGATAGGTCGCTGGGACTCCAGCCTCGATGAGTCTGGTGTTCAAGCGGCTCGATGGCTCGATGAGTATTATGACGGATTCATGAAACTTCCAACTCAGTAAGCTCGAGGAGAATCATGAGTTAATATAGAGGACCAGCCAAGGCCCACGCAACCCTTAGACTCGTCCGTACTCTGTCTGAGATCCTTCGAGAGCCATCTGTGGGACAAGAGAGCCCTGTGCATATTGGCATTTCGAATTCGTGTATCCAGGAGTACGGAGTTGTTGACAATGTTTATCATATTTGATGCAAACTCCCTACAGTGCCCAGCTTGGGCTTGTATCATCATTGAAAAGAACTGAGCAGGACGGGCCAATATGGGCCCGACCAACCACCACTCAGAGAAAGAGGAGGGAACAGGAAGGCATATTTAGAGACGGAGGGTATTGTGGGCAATAGAAGAGGGCCACCAAGACAGTAAGATCCGACCGCTAGATGGGCGTAATCTTGCTCATGTCACGACACGTTTGGTAGTTAGTCACTGCTCATATCATGCAATCTATTTTATTTGTCGACCTACATTATTGATATTATTTATCGCTATACGTACGACCCCACGGGTTCTCTTTCTTATCGGCTCTGAATTCATGAAGACAATGTCAGCCAGAGTCTGTCCCCAAATGTCTCTATCAAGAGCTGTTTTCTGAAATCCATAAATCACACTAGTTCATTTGGGGTCCTTTATTACCAGCCAACGTTCATCACCACACATCTCTCTAGCCATCTATCAATCGTTCTTCCAATCTAGCACCTCTTCACGGGTGGTTGGGATAGGATGGCTGTTCTACATTTCTCACTCATAAACATCTTGAGTGTACCAAGAATTTAACTGTCACCACGTGCGGCATCGTAAAGACGACGAAGAAGAAAAATTACAAAATCAGTAAGACACATATAGCGAAATAGAATGAAGTTTCCAATGTTTTTGAAATTTCATGACAGACTCGGCTGAGCCTAACAGGCTGACTATTGCCCTTATTATGCTAGTCATATATCCATTCCACATCAATCTCCCATCTCCTGTTCTTGCTTGCTTGCTTTTCCTTTTAAACCAAATTCATCGTCTGAGTCGTTGCCTGATTATTGTTGGGTAGGCATGGAAACATCAGCCTTTTTAGCAACGGCATCAGCACTCTGCCATAGAGCTGTGACAGTCTTGAGCTGAGTGTAGAAGTTGATGCCAGGCTTTCCGTAGAATGTGCTGGCACCACCACCAGCAATAGACTTCTTGTTACCAGTGAAAGAGAACATGGGCAGAGGGACAGGGATGGGGACATTGATGCCCACCTGGCCAGCCTCAATGTTCTTGCGGAAGGTCTCAGCAGTAGCACCAGACCTAGTAAAGATAGCAGTACCGTTGCCATACTCGTTCTTGTTAACAAGGTCGATAGCGTCATCAATAGACTCTGCGTTGAGACAGACAAGGACGGGGCCGAAGACCTCCTCCTTGTAGCAGGTCATATCGGGTGTAACATTGGTGATGATGGTAGGGCCAACCCAGTTGCCGTTAGGGTACTTGCTGGGCTTGTAGCCACGGCCATCGAGAAGAATAGTAGCGCCCTCCTTCTCAGCAGACTCAATGAGCTTCTCAATACGCTCCTTGCTCTGCGGTGAGATCACGGGACCGAGATCAGCGCCCTCCTCGAAGCCGCCATTGACGTTGAGATGCTTGGCTTGCTCGGCAACCTCATTGAGCCACTCCTTGGTTTCGCCAACCATAACAAGAGTACTCAAAGCCATGCAGCGCTGGCCGGCAGCACCGAAAGCGGCACCAGTAATGGAGTTGATGAACTGGTTCTTGTTGGCATCGGGAGAGACGACAGCGTGGTTCTTGGCGCCCAAGTTGGCCTGAACACGCTTGCCATTGGCAGAACCACGGCTGAAGATGTACTCGCCGGCCTTGTTACCACCGACGAAGCTGATTGCTTTGATAGCGGGCTCATCGAGGATGAAGTCGACGGTGCGGTGGGCACCATGAATGATGTTGACAACACCCTCGGGGAAGCCAGCCTTCTGGACAAGCTCGGCAATGATCATGGCTGCACCGGGGTCACGCTCAGAAGGCTTGAGGATGAGGGTGTTTCCAGTGATGGTGGCAATAGGGATGCACCAAAGGGGGATCATGGCAGGGAAGTCTACGGATTGATTAGCCAAAGCATGATGCTAGCGAGTGGCGGATTACTCACTGAAGGGGCAGATAGCAGCGGTGACACCCAGGGGCTCACGGTAGGTTCGGGTCTCCATGTCCTTGGAGACTTCAAGGACCTCGCCCTTGAGAAGCTCAGGGGCAGCAATAGCAGCCTCAGCAACTTGAAGACCACGAAGGACATCACCCTTAGCATCAGCAAAGGTCTTGCCTTGCTCGAGAGTAATGCTGGCAGCGAGGCGGTCCCAGTTCTCACGAATAAGCTGGACAAATCGGAACATGATCTGCTGTCGAGAGATGACAGTAGTGTTCTTCCATGACTTAAAGGCCTTCTCAGCACTTGCAACAGCAGCCTTCATCTCAGCGTCGGTCATCTGAGGGACACGAGTAACGAGCTCGTTGGTAGCGGGATCGTGTAAGTCGATGTACTTATCGGTCGAGGACGAAACAAACTTGTTGTCGATGAAGTAGGGAGTATCGACCGCCTCGACCTTTGCGTGGGTGGTAGGATAACTGCTGGCGGTTGAAGCTAGGGCAGCCGTCACAGGCTGAAGCTGCTTGCTTGTCGCATGAATGCGTCTGGCAGCGACATGGGACGAGCCGCTTGTGATGTTAGATGAGGTGAGGAGAGAGGATCGAGAAAGGGCGGGAGTAGATCGGCTGGAAGCACCCAAGCCGCGAGAGATTGCGCGACGCATGATGGCGAGAATGAGGATGACAGTATGTATATGAGGCTCAAGTACGTGGTATAAGTGAGAGGGACAAGAGATGAGAGGAGAAGAGAGGGAGAGCAATTGGCCTCGACAACTTCTAATGAAGCAACAAAGAGGTCAGAAATCAAAAGGTCATGGGTTCTCTAGACTTTTATACTGAGAAATTGTCCCGGCTATGTCAACAGTGCGGAGGCAATTGGAGGGGCGTTCATCTGAGAAGGTCACCACTTGCAACCACCAAAGGCGAGTCAGTGCGGGGCGGCAAGAGCAACTCATGATAAGCTAGCAACTTCCCCCAAGAGCTGGGCTGACATTTCTGGAAAGTGTGGGGTAATTGCCGAGTGAGCTCCGGCTTGTCCGCTGGTTACCGTCAATGCCGATGGATACCACGGTCTGAGGTTTGTCTCCCAATTCTAGTCTCTTACTGGTTGAGATTGCCGGCCAGAAACTAGATCTCTCGCTCTATTCTTCGTCTCCTTTCGCCTGCCTAATTGGGAAACATATCTATCTCAAGTGACCTGCCACTTCGATTCCTTGACCTTTATCTATCGGACGTCGGGGTCACCTTCCAAGATTCTCAAACGTAAATGGATGTTTATGGAGGGCGTTCGTCTTCTCAATATCGATCTAGGCTGATACTAGACACCCTTATCTGTACACGCACGCCGATTTCGGTGGGAAACAGATTTGGCTTGTCAAGTTAACCAACTGTAAATACGAAACTACACAAAACGAGATAACCATGTGCCAACGCCTTGCTTCATAGTGCCTCTTGAGTGGTCGACAGATAAAATACCACAACGAGTCATGGACTGATGAAAAGTTAGGTCAGCCTGAAAAGTTATCAATTGTCTGATATCCCTATCACTGCTCTGATGCGCCAAATCAATCAATCAATCGTGAGAATTGTGTACATTTCCTTCCAAACTTGCTTCTCTTCTTACTTCCATAGGTTCTCTGTCCGCTTTTGAATATCACTCCGCCCAATATAACAACTGACCATCTGAAATCATCGTCTCATTTGCCTTACGACTGGCTGCGGGTAGTGCGCTTGTTAGCAGCACCCTTGACCTGCTCAGCACCGGTAGCGGTGGCCTCAGCAGCCTTGTCCTTGACCTGCTTGGCCTTGTCGGATGCCTTCTCAGCTGTCTGCTGAACGGCGGGTGACTTGCCAAGGTTGAACAGAACAGCGATCAGGCCAGCGGCACCGAGGATGATAGCGACAAAAGCACCAGCAACCTCGGGGACGAACTTGATAGCCTCGATAGGGTCCTGAGCGGCAATGGCCTTGAAGAGCTCAACCTTCTCGGTAACGTAGTGAACGGGGTCATCAAGGAACTTGAGGTCGCTGGGGGATTTGGGCTTGTCCTCCTGCTTGGGCTTGTCGGCATCAAAGAGGGCCTTCTCAATGGGGTGCTTGACGCCGAAGGTCTCCTCAGCGAGCTTGTTGGCATCCTCAATAGAGTGACCAATGTAGATGTTGTCAAAGAGAATATCATTCTGCATAGTCCAGATCTCGAAACCAATGGCTCCCATGGGCTCGAAGTTGGCAGGAGTCTTGTCCTCAAAGTAGTCGGGGTTCTTGATCTTGCGGGGAGCCCAGGTTCCCTTGTATGCTGGGTTCTCGATGTAAGGTGCAGTCCACTTGCCCTTATAGTCGGGGTTACGCTTCATTGGCTTGGTCCACGGGCCGCAACCAGAGGCGTCGGCACACTTGGGGTTGGGGACGGTAGGAGCGATCCAGTCGCCGTCCTCCTCGTCATCCCAATCATCTGGCTTCTCGGCCTCAGGGTCAGGGATGGTGACGGGCTCATTCTCGAGCCAGTCCTCGGGTTTCTCGGCTTCCTCATCAACGATCTCGTAGGGGGCATCCTCATCCCAATCCTCAGGCTTCTTGGCCTCAGGGTCGGGAATGCGGGCTTGGTCAACCCAGTCCTCGGGCTTCTTGTCGTTCGCATCATCAATCTCGGCCGGGGGGTTGACAGCAGGAGTGAAATCCTCCAAGAGGCTGCCAGTCTTGACCTCCTCGTTGTTCTGCTTGATGACGTAGGTGTTGTTGGGATGAACGATCAAGGTGTAAAGCTCGGTGGTCTTTGTGATCTTGGCAGTGGGGGGAGAGTCGAGATGCTTCTCCTCATACTCGCCAGTCTTGGGGTTCTTATGGTTGAAGATGAAGTGAACCTTGTTGGTGTGACCACACTTG